ATACGTACATAATCGTACATACATACATGCGCATAGGCATACAAGGCATGCGAAGCCTTAATGCATGCATACTTTCATACAGGACTTACTTTCTCACTACTTACTTACTTACTTACTTACTTACTTACTTACTTACTTACTTACTTTACTTACTTACTTACTTAAAAAATTACTTGCATACAGGCCGCAGACATGCATACATCGTGGCTGAAGTCCAGTGCGCTACGTTGCATTACATTGGCTACACTGCCCTACCCTACGCTACGTTACGTTACATTTCGCTGCATTACATGATATTACACGCTACATTATACACAAATACCACTCACTCTCTCTCTTTCGGTTTAGGGTTTAGGGTTTAGGGTTTAGGGTTTATGCGAACATGCACGGCTGTACACCGCCACTAGCATAAATATCTAAGCTTTGTTTGTATGCACATACGGCTGTATGAATACATGGATGCTTGCATGTATGTATGTGTCCATGCACATGTATGTGTATGTATGTGACACTCTGTCTATGTGTACATATGATGACACATCAGTTTATACACACTGGTTAATAGTACAGCAGACGAACACAAATTAGCCACCAAATCAATAATGGACCAATAACTGATGATGCACATGTACATTTACTCGCACAGAAACAGTATGCATGTAGGTATACATATTCGAGGGGTGCCAGGCTTGGGTCATTCTTATGTCCCCACCGCCCTGCAACAAGCGTTGAAGGATACCAGGCCATAAAGCACTTCCCAAAGAGCCAAATACCCCATGATTAAGGAATACACCTTAAATTATAGGGGCCTTAGTATTATGATTTCAGGAATATTCCTTAATTAAGGCGTATTGGGCGCTCTGGGCTTGCCAGAACTCTACACATCCTCCGGTGAGCCCCAAAACCTACAACTCGTCGAGGGTTTAGGGTTTAGGGTTTAGGTTTCAGGGTTTAGGGTTGGGCTCAGGTCCCTACCGCAAAGACTTTGGAAGACGTGAAGGGAGGGTAAACGCCGAAGTCTACATCCTGCACTTGCAGGTCCATGGGTAGTTATAAGTAGGGCTATAAGTCCCCCAATATGGGTTATAACTATAGTTAACCTACTTATGACCTCACTTATAACCACCCATGAACCTCCAAGCACAGAGACTGACTCCTTGTCCATAAGCCCTGGAAAGGTGTCCACAGAATTCGAAGTTCGCAGATCGACTGCCCGGGTGTCGGGTCACAGGCTAGGGCTTAGGGCGCCCAGCGAAGCCATCGAGAACAGGCAACAGGAGAACCCCGGATGTCAGCACGGACAGACTATCAGTAAGCTGGGGCTTACCGTCACAGGGCCGGAACTCAAAAAAAAACCCTGCGTCGATAGATCTTGGGGTCGCGACTCCAGGAAGTAGCGCTGAGCCTTCTGGGTCAAATGGCTCCTGATACGCCAAACCCTAAAACCCTAAAACCCTATAAACCCTAAACCCGAAAATGCCCGAAGACCCTATAAACACTAAACCCTGAACCCGGAAAACCTATGAACCCTAAACCCGAAAACCGTATAAACCCTAAACCGTGGCACACA